AAATCTGTTCAAATTTATTGAAATTTAAAGGAATTGGAAAGCTCTGCATGTCTTTCTACATATCTTTCTTTGATTATTCATTTTCTAATACGTAATCGAATTGCCTTATTATCTTCCATACACTCATTTCCTTATAAATTCAGTGTAATCTTGCAAATATAACTAAAATGCTTATGGTAATAAAGCTTTATAAAATTACATTATAATAGTACTCACTCAGTACTTTCTTCTTCAAATCTAAACAAATGAAATTTAATTGTATTGTTTCAAAATTAGCTTTTAAAAAGTTTATTTTCTAATAGTTCAGCAGTAATTTTTCAAAAATTTTTCTTTTTTTAGCACAAATTGGACGGGAAATTCATTTGTGCCATTTTTAACTGCAAAAAAAAACACTTCAAGAATTTTTTTGATGAAAAATTCTCATGGGGAACTGGGAAAGTCTCAGGTAATCAACGGATGGCCCAATTCGGTTTGAAAAGTTAATGAAGTAAAACAGATATTGAAGTAAGATGGAAAATGATATGTTGATTTCTTTTATTTATGCAGCATAAAAAAATTTTTTCATCGTAGCAATTATTAAGGCCGAATTGAATTTCACATTTATTTTGCCATTTTCTTTTTATTCATCATAATTATTTGATTTATGCAACATTTTCGGTATGCATGCTTTGCATATTAAAGCAGAAGATAGATAAAATAATCTTCCAGGTATCCTGAATTAAAATTTGACAAGCGCGTAACCTTTGATCTCAGACATTTTGCATTAAGATTTTCAAGACATGAACTGCGAAAGAACTTGTTTGTTAAGTGATCATTTAGTAGATAATCCTTTTTCTAAAAAATAAATAGAGAAAAGTAATATGGTACCCAAAAAAATCAAACGGAAAAAACGTTTATCATTTACTTTTCATCTTTCCTTATCTTCTGATAATAACAGTATATTTACTGCAAAAAGTAAGCGTACACATACACGCACACATACACCATACACATATATATACGTATATGCATGCATATATACACACAGGTGCACACACATATGTACACATACATGCATAAAAATACTTGAAGTTGTTTAGTTTTAAAATACTTTACATTTAATCTGTCATTTTTCGTCTAATCTTGTTATTCCTTCAAGTCCTTTGCTGTGATAGATTATGTTGTAAAATGAATTGAATTGTTTTGACAGATAATTTGATGGAAGTCTTATCTTTTCATTCAACATAACATTTTCATTTCTTCCATCCATCCGTCCTTCTCCTCTTTTGAAAAGAAAAAAGAAACTTCACAATTATTATTTTATAATAAAAGTTTGTGCTGTGTAATGTATACGGCTATGTACCGGATAACAATTAGTGAAATTAGTGCTTTTCGAAGTTGATCAAACAGAAAGCCTTTCCCTCTCCTATTTTTTCATGCTTGTCTCTTCTTTTCTTTATCTTTCTTTTCCCCTCTCCCTTTCTTTTTCTGTAGTAAACATTGTTAAGCTAATTAAATTTCATTTTATCCTCCCCAACTAATTCAAAAGCTAATGAAAAATTCCTAAACTACGTCATTTACAATTAATCTTTTTTCCCCTCTTTATGTTTTTTTGCCATTCCTTTTTTATTTTTAAATTGCCAAAATTTTAGAAATTCCTAAAAAATTTATTACCCATTTCAAATGGATTCATACTAAAATCTTTTACTCAAAAATTTTTTTTCACATTACTTCTCAAAATTATAGCGTTAGAAGATGACCAAAAAATTTTTTTTACGAGACAAAGAGACAAAAGTTTCAAGTAACAAGATGACAAGAACTTTTGGAAACAATGCAACCAACAAAAAACAAAATAAAAGAAAACAGATCTTTGAGCGATTTATCGAGACAATTTATTATCATATGAATAAAAAGGATTATATTCGATTTAAAAATTAGATTCATTTCTTTTACAGTTTTTCTTTGTACTCCCTCTCTCTCTGTCTCAGAGAATCGAAATTTATCAGCAGGATTTTTAAAGTTTTATGATAAACAGTTAACAGCCTTTAAAATTTTGTTACAGTCACTTTAGAATAAATATGCTTATTGGTTGTTTTAAGCGATATGTGAAATGGAAAATGTGGAAATTTAATAAATACTTAAATACAAATAGTATCTGATTAAAAACTAATTAAATTTACTAATTAAATATAGCATTTATTCATCCAGAGGACACATACATAGCATTTATAAACACTAATTTAATTTTCGTTTAAAAGTCAAAGCTTGAAATAAAGCTTGCTATGAATGGTAGGTATATTTATCCTGCAGTATTAGGAAAAAAACTTTTGAACTATTTTGAAGCATAAATTTTGTCAGCGTATTTCAAATTTATCAAGAATTAATTCTAACAAATAATTTTACATGTTAAAATTTATTCTCATATTTTAATATGTTACATTTTTTCCAAGATATCTCGAGATATTGATAAGTATTTTATTTTTTTTTTTCATTTTTCATTTTGCATTTCCAACAACCGATATGAAATTTAATAAAGGAATCAAATAGAACATAATGAAGTAAATTGATAATAATTATTTTCTTCCACAAATATATCAAGTAGCAAAATGTAATATTTAACTTATTATCGATAAAAATCCCAAAAAAAATTTAGAACTAACTAAAATTATAACTAAATAACTAATCCTTTAGGTGTAACATATACCTATCCTTTTTGGCAAGCTTTATTTCAAGCTTTGATCTTTAAATAAAAATTAGATTGGTACTTATAAATGCTATGTATGTGACCCGTGGATTTGTTAATTAATGGAAATTCATAAATCACTAAATTTTTTGTAATCGCTTCATTGACCGATGCATTGCCTGGCTTCATTTCAATTTGTTTATTTTAATAAAACAATAAAGTTCTACGTTTTGAAAGTTTCGTTTTGCTTTTGATGCGCTTTTTCTTCTCAACTTCTTACGAAATGGCCTATCACAATATGTGCTAACCTATTACTTTCAGTTAATGACTTCTTTGACAATCATGAAATATAAACTTAATGCGGATTTTTAGAATGTTACTTACCTATGCAAGTTTTGAAGTTATCTTCAACACTCATAATTTTATAGCAATCTCTTTTTTAATCTTGCGAATATATATTAATTCGATAATTTTCAGCTGACTGTATCCATTTATCTACGTTTTTTGAATATTTGTAATGATTTCAAACAATAGCACCAATTTCGCAAATTAAGAAACCATTCAAATTTTGAAATTTTGAAATTTGTTGGTATGAAAATATTATATTCGAAATATTTTTTGAAAATTTTAAAGTTTTAAGTGAAATTTATTTAATAAGGAATACTTCAAAAGAAACTTGAGAAGAGGAAGAATTACAAAACTGTTTTGCAAAGATTCTGTCCAAATCACGAAGGATAAATAGCTTTATAAATCATTAATGAAAACAGGTTAATGACAGGTGGAATCAGTTGCTGCTGCAAATAACTATAAAATTACGAAATGGAGTTGAGAGATCCAAACGAAATGAATGAAGTGAAGAATAAGATAAATGGAATAAACAAATAAATTTAGTTAAATAAACGAAAACGAATTGACTTCATGGAAATTTAACTTAATTAGCTATACCATCTTTTAACAAGAGCATCAAATTCGTCTTTTAACAAAAGTTTTCATTTATATTTCTATAATGTGCGCCTAATAAACACTTTTATAATAGAACTGTTATGGCAGGAAAAAAATGAAAATTACCAGTTAAAAAGTCTGATAACAGCAAAAATTATTTCGTTTTAATCGGTTACTTACCTAAACTTTTTCATTTCATTTACTCTATTTTTACTCGACTTATTTGCTTCACGTTCCTGAATCACTGCTTTCCTTCTACCGATTAAATTTTATCAATAATTACTAATTGGATGAATCATTGCATAATTCACCAATTTTTCTATGAAACTAATATCGTCGGAAGCAAAGAAGGACAAAGCGTAAATCAAATTTAAAATGGATGCTATGGGATAGTAATTCCCACCAGTCATTCAATTTTTAATATTATTTTAACTGCCAGCGCATAGTAGTAGAATCGTCCAAAAGATTTTTTGCTTCCTTTACTTTTGATTTAATTAATCCATCGATCGAATCATTCATTAACTCTCTTCATAGCAAGACAGTAAGAGAGTATTTGATCTGTTATCATGATTAGATAATCACTACACAATCTGTTCTCTTATCAGATTTGTAGATTGAGAATATATTAAACTATTGAATTGATGAAGATTATTATTCTCAAAGTTTTAGTTGCAATTTTCCAGCGACTAATATATCATTACAACACGTAGCAGCTGACGCTTTTGTCGTATAGAAAAATTTCCGTATAAATGAATTTCCGTTTGTGAAATGGAAGATTGTTTTGAAAGAAAAATATGAATATTTCATGACAGACGGGAGTTAGAACAGATTAAAATGAAAGCAGAAAGAGTGAAATGGAATGGATATTAGAGGTTATTGTAACGAATTATTCATCGATTTTAGGGAACTGAAATGCTTCTAATAAAAATAATAAAAAAACCGTTAAACTTTCAAATTTTTTTCTTTTAATAGTTTAGCTATTTTGTCCTTTTATTCGGTACATTTTAATGTTTGCCTAATATGTTTTGCTGAATAGTTGTGAATGATTCACATATCTAAAAGATAGAGTAAAAGTTTATTTCCGACTTCTTCCATTGTTAATCATTAAAATATTGAAAAATTTTTATGTAACAAATAATTTCCGTATCAATTCGTTTGGCTGCAGGATGTGATACTTACTCAAAACATCATTTTTTCTAAAGGTCATTTTTTTCAAAAAGTCAAACAATTTGTAGGCATTAATCATAACGAATGCATTTTCTTATATATATTTCCTGATCCATCGAAATTCACGCGGAAATAATGAAAGATTTGGAAAATACGTGAAATTCACGTGACCCCGAATTTTATTCCATTTTCTAAAAAATTTCAAAAAAATTCAATGCTTCAACATCATATGTCACTTCGGCATCGGGCGGCAAATAGCCCACGACCTAAACGCTTATCTTCGACAAATGAGCGTAAGTTATTGCTATTTCGCACTGCTTGCCTCATTTTCTTAATTAATTATTCATTTTAAACATCTAATTTGATTAAATGACTCAATGGATAAATTATTATGAAAATTTAAAAAATTTTGCTCACCAACGTTTGCTAAAATGATTGGTATTCATTCATTAACTCAATAATTCGCTTATTTATTTAAGACAAACCTTCTTCATCGTATTTCTTTTTTCTTTCCTCATCAATTATAATTGATTATTAAATAACCTATCATTTATTTTTATTCCTTCCTTATTTTTCACAAAGAATAATAAAAAGAAATGCAGTTGGGAATATAAAAATTTCATTTGCAAATTCAAATTATCATAATCACAAATTTTTTTAAAATATATAGCCAATATTAAGTTGAATAAAGTAAACATACTGTATTACTATTGTTGTATTTTAGAGATTCAACGAATTTTTAATGACATATCATGCAAAATGTTGAAGTTTATTAATTCAAATGAAATTCCGATGTTTACCATTTCTTAAAAAAATTTCATTTTTTCTGCTAAATTTTTATTCCAATTCAAGTATAAAAAATAATTTCAGCTGTTATTAAGCTCGAACTTGGTATCTGTGGTTGGATATTGATAATATTTGCATATTTTATTGTCTTCCTAACGCTGCCCTTTTCTGCATGCGCTTGTATTAAGGTTTCATATTCGTTGTTTGTTTATTTCAATTGAAATGCTTTCTTCTAATATTAGTTTTTTAGTAAATTTAAAGAAATTTTCAAAAGAAAGGAATAGAAGAAAAGAGATCAGAACAGAAAGTATAAAAAAGAGAGAGAAAGAAAGAGATTTGATTGGATCTTTCTATTCTTTAATGTTTTTGTCGTTGAAGAAATGAAATCATTTTTTTTAATTTTAGGTCGTACAAGAATATGAACGGGTAGTGATATTTCGATTGGGAAGGTTGATGACCGCTAGAGCTCGCGGGCCTGGTATCATTTTTTGTACAAAATTTTATCTCATTAATTTGTACTCTAAAAATATATTCTTAATATTTATATTTGCTTATTACAGGCTTGTTTTTTATTTTGCCATGCATTGATTCCTACAGGAAAGTGGATTTACGTGTCGTATCCTTTGATGTACCACCGCAAGAGGTATTATCACTATCATTTATTTAATTTATGTAGAACATTCACTTTTCTTTCTTACGCTTAATTTTTAGCTGAGCTTCTGCTAAAAAGAACTATACTTCTTGGCAATGTTTCATCACGTCACTACCGCACACTCTATATTTTATTTATAAAATAAAATTCAGCACTTTTATAATGTTTATGCATTAGCTAAGATTAAGTAAGATTTTTTAATAAGCATAAATATCCATAATATATTAATACTTAACCGAAGTAAATATATCATTTCTTAGCAATATTGTCTATTCCTTAATTAAATTCATCTATGTAATCGTTTGAGAAATTTCATAAATTTATAATTCTTTTTTTCAATGGATTAAAATTTTATTTCTTATGGAAAATTTATTAGTTGCAAAAAATTTAGATTTTATCGCGTGATTCAGTCACAGTGGCTGTAGATGCAGTGATATATTTTCGTATTTCGAATGCAACTGTATCTGTAACGAATGTTGAAGATGCCAGTCATTCGACGAAGCTATTAGCGCAAACAACGCTTAGGAACATCCTAGGGACAAAGACGCTGGCTGAAATGCTCAGCGATCGAGAAGCTATCTCAATGCAAATGCAAGTGAGTTATGCTTTTACAATGTTTTATACTACGACATAATCAGAAATTCTGTAATTGAATATTGAAATTTGAGAATGTGAGATAATGCATGTTTGAATTTGAGATATGCTATGCTATTAAATGAATTTCGAAAATCGATACTAGAAATTAAATTTTTCTTGTTGAGGCTTTCCACTTTAATTCGATGAATTTCTTTAATTAAATTTTCTATAGAAGACTCGAAAATAATTCGAGTCATTTAAATCAGCGTGAAATATCTTGCAAAGATGTTTATCAAATTAAAATTACAGAGTTGAAACATTCGTCATTTCTTTCAGAATACTCTGGACGAAGCAACCGATCCATGGGGTGTGCGAGTGGAACGAGTGGAAGTGAAAGATGTTCGTCTACCTGTACAGTTACAACGTGTCATGGCCGCTGAAGCTGAAGCTGCACGTGAAGCACGTGCTAAGGTATGTAAAATTATTTTAAAATATTTTAGCATTATAGAAATTACCACTGTGAGTTCTTTTTTTGGCATAAGACATAAGTGCATGCTTATCAAAATTCATTCTGTCAGTTGAAGTTGATCAGTTGTGAAGTAGCAATTTGGTATCAAAGAATCAGAATCAGTAATTCATTAATGAAAAAAACATTCAATAATTTAATTAAATTATCTTTGAAGGTAGTAGCTGCAGAGGGTGAGAAGAAAGCTTCTACATCTCTTAATGAGGCTGCAAATATGATCGCCGAATCGCCATGCGCAATTCAGCTGCGGTATCTTCAAACCCTCAATTCTATCAGGTTTGTTTCTAAGTTCTATAACTATTTGAATTTATAAGGAGCTGTAAATTGGTCAAAGAGTCTTTAATTTTCAAACTTGACTCCATTCCAACTCATTCCAATGTAAAATGATACGAGATAAGGAAAAATGAAAAGTGACAAAGAGGACGTTTGAATGAACAAGCTAATCAATTGCCGCATGGAATGATTTATGAATGTAATTTATGCAAATGCAAACACATTCATTTGTTTTGAATTAAAATATATTTTCCAGTGCCGAGAAGAATTCAACAGTAATATTTCCATTTCCGATAGAACTTATTCGGTTATTTATCCCGCAAAGTTCATAAAAAGTATATATTATCTGAATGTTTAATCATCAGTTTGCTCTTCAATTGATTTCTTCAAAATATGTGCATTCTTTTTAAAAAAGTATTTGCTTTGTGATCACTGAATAATTGATGGTTAATAAATTTTCGTATTACATACATATTAATAAAATTTAAAGCGGTATATTTTTGCATTAACATTTCATTCATTTTTGTTGAATAAACCGGAAAACAATATGAGAATTGAATACTTGCCGATTTTGATTGTAATTGTAGTTTCATAACACATGTAGACTAAACATTTCTTCAAGTATTGTTTTTTTTTTAAGTTTCGATTAAGATTTTAGAAAAACCAATTATCTTGGATAAAACGAGTAAAGTAATGAAAATCTGCATTTTTTATCATGCCGTTTTCTAAAAAAATGAAATAAAATAAAACAAACTGCTCAACTTATGCATTTAAATGATACTGTTTGCTTGAACATCATAATTATTATTCGTTACATTACTGTTTTCTTGCGAACAAGTCTCAACGGACTTCGAATACTAAAAAAAGTTACGTGATACTACTTTTTTATGCTAAGGATATTGCAAGCAGTCATGTATTGTTTATAAGTGCATGTCACTCAACTGAATTTATTTTGTGGTAGAGCGGTTTGGACCGCAAGTGAGCAATTAAGATAGAAAGCGAATACGTGTACATTTACGTTGCTTCTATGTAAATAAGAAGATTAGCGAGGCGAAACGATAAAGCAGCAAAACGGAATTTGTAAACAATTATAGCTCTCAACTAATGTTAGAATTTATCATTCAGGACTCGCACTGAGGCTATTATTCCAAGATTAATGAAGGAAACTACCATTCTTTGGTATTCCCTTGGGAAGCACACGCAAACGTATGCATACACACACGTATACGCATATATATTCCTGTGGAATTATTGAAAGATCGAAAGAACTGATCAGATCGTTTACTTTCCATTGTTGGGAACATATTAACTTCATCTCAACCTTATCATTGATGCGTAAGTATTGGCAAAAATTTGTTACGTGCACAATACAGATGACTCATTTCTGTTTATATTATTCTATAAAATCCTTCAGTCCAATCAACATTTGATCCTTCCTGAATAATTTTCAATCTACAGCATGCAACAAATGCTGTTCATCATCTGATCGATGAGTGCAACTGCTCACATTCATTCAATTTCAAAGCTGCCAATTGAAAATATTTTTTGTTATCATGATTATGCACAGCCATAAAAGACGTTTTTACTGCTTATACGTAAAGAAAAATATGCTCAAAAATATAAAGTAATACAATGCATAAAGGAGATAATATTCCCTTATTTCATCTTGTCAAGAAGCGATAGTATTGTCTCGGCCAATTGACAAATTTAAATTTCAAGCAAAATCATAAAAGTTGGTTTCGGAAATGAAAATGTTGCGTTTGAAATATGTAATTGTGTTAACTATAAAATATCAAATTTTTGGATTTATCATCTCAATTAATCAGCGATTCGAATCTCTTCTTCCATGGTAATTTATGTTTCTCTGAAGTTTTGGATGAAACTCTATATATTTATCATAAAGTAAGCATATCAATAAGAGATCATTGCTAGTCATCTATTTAATTACTTATTATTAAATACTTAAAATAGTAAGTAAAAAGTGTATTAATAAAGAGATCAGTGCTGATTGTACATTATTCAGTTTTTTATTGTTTTGAATGTTTAATTAATGCTGGCAGAGTTTATGCTCACCCAGAATGAATCCTTTTCCAATATTATATTGCTGTTATAAATTGATGGGATAAGAAAATGCATTTCGCATTAGTTTAACTTATTGTGTATTCTTATCAAAACAAGAAATAAATAAAGAGGAATGTCATTTATTGAAGGGAGAAATATTGAAGAGGGATATTTCTCTTTCATAAATCTTTCAGATATTATAAACTTCCGGGAAATTTGTAATCAAGCAATGATTATTACAACCCAGCAGAAAGCAACAAATCTGCAAAGTGATTTATGCACAAAATTTATTTTAGATTAGTTAGAAGCAAGAAAAAAAAGCAATAATGTTTTCAAGTACAAATTTAGTAATATATTTTTTTCAAAATGCTGAAAAATTCAGTGACATAATCAGCGAATCTATAATTATAAATTCAGTGAATTATAACTGAATTTTAAACTTATCCGCACAGTTCTATTGCACTTAAACACTCAATTCTAATGCGTTCTAATGTAAATATGCCTGTGGTTGACATCATTTCTAATCAGTAAAATTTTTTTTTGCACTTTTGTTTTCCAGCAGATGGATCAGAACTAAATTCATCATATGATATATATACAACAATTTATCACTTCTTTTGAGAAAATACAAAAAGCAGATAAAAATTAGAATCTTGCTTAATTCGCAAAAAAAGCATTCTAAAATGCATACATTTTAATAAATTTCATTAGTATAAAATATAATTTCTGATATTATTTATTTGATGTCATCTCATTTACAACCAATTGTTTATTTCCCCTCTCATTTACTTCATCTAAATTCAATAAATAATTTAAATAACTCATACCATAAATTGATAATCTATAACGAAATTTGATTTTTTCTCTTTTATTTGACGGCCAAAAAATATTAACTCGTAATTCTTAACAAAATAAAATTTTATTAAGAATTATAAGCTAATGTTGTAATTATGCATAAAATAATTTTTTTATTTGCTAACATATCCATCAATGCTTTCATATTCAAAATTTTTCGTAATATTTGCATATTTCGAAACTTTTAATTATGAACAAATAGAATGTGCAAATATTATTGTGAATAAATAATGCACAATACTAATAATTTCGATTCCTTTGTTCAACTTTAATCAATCCGGAATATTTTGAGTCGTTCATAAGAAAGAATGTAAGCGATATGCTTGAAATGCTGTATAGCTACTTTTAACAAAAAATGAATTTCTTGTTTTCAACAGTTTTATAAAATAAAATTGATACAAAAAATTTATAGAAAGAAAAATAATATAAAAAATAACATATTATAAGCAAAAATTAAACAAAAAATTAAGCACATCATTTTTCCATTCTTAACTGTAGTGTGGAATTGAAATGAAAAAGCGAAATTGTTTGGAAAGGAATTATTTCAATCGATACTTTATATCATCCCTTTACCATTTCACTTTTATTTTGTTTACAAAGTGAAATTGTAACTGATAATAAAATAAGAACAGATTAATTAAAATGACAAAATAGTAGGTGTGCTGTATTGATTGTAGAAAAATGTTTCGAGAATGTTGTTGATTGGATGTCTGAAGTCCATATGTTTTATCTTTGTGCTCTCATTTTAACTGGATTGTAAATTATTCCAATTCTTTCTTTAATGCTTATTTTTCTATTTCTTCAAACATAAATAGTATCAAAAAGAGATGAAATTTAGTGAAGTAAGTTTTCAAAATTTAATTTTACAAATACAAATTTCTGGAAAATGCTCCACCCTGAATGATTACAATGTTAATTGCAACAAATAGATAATTGACCAGACAGATATCAGTAGCGCTTAGCTATAGCTATTAATATATACATACATCTAGCCACAGCATCATTTTAAATTTCTTTTAGCTTACAAGCAACTCTTCTTGATTGTTCTTGTCCAACATCCAGATAACATCTTATCCGTTACTTTCGCCCGGATGTATGTTACTTCAAATATTTGTTATCAACTTTTCAAATCTTTACTATTTCACTATTTCTTTATGAAATATGTTCATATTTATAGTTGCCACTTATGAATCTATTAACTTTTCATGTCATATTTATCCTTTTTTCAAATCCATTAAAATTCTCAAAAATTTATTGCAAAGGATTTTAAAATCTTTTCAGTTCAGTAAACCATTGGATAGTGAAAATTTATAGCATTAATTATACCATTTCAACTAAGAGAGTTGTAATTCTTGTGCTTCTTTATTTGATGGAGACTTCTGGAAGAGTTCCTCGGAAATGCGCAGATTTTGGCACCGTAAGATTTCTGTTCTCAAGAAGAGGAAAGGATTGTGACGCATAAACTTTTGATGCTTTTTCAAACATTAGCTTTCTTTTGCAGAATTTCCTACGACTTATAATAACGCAATGGACCATCTTAATTTCCAAGCACTAAACATTATCCATTAAAAATTAACAATTTCCCTCAATTCCCAAGCCTAAAAATTAACAGTACAGAAATGAGTTCATTTTTGTAGGCAACTTCGAACTGTACCACCATTTGACGCATTATCTCTTCCAGTAAGATTAAATAATGATGACATTTGTATATCAATAATTTTTATGACACTATCGTCAAAATGTATCGTCACTTCATTAACCATACCACTTATCCATCAAAATTCATAAAATTTGAAAATATTTCGAATTCTTCGATTAATTTGAGTAATTTTACAAAAAAGCAATTGTTGCATTTCAAGTATTGATACCAATGACGACGATAAATGTGGATATTTCAAACAGTTTAAAAAAGATTGATCAATGGGATTGGCCACTTAATAAGGATGATGGCATGGTAAAAGTTGTCAACACCGATGAAAAATTTGAAGTGATCCTTGAAGCTGTTTATTTCCAACCGAAAGAGATCGAAGTAAGTCTGTTTACATGACTTTTGCTTTCTCCGAGAATTTTTCACATAAAGTCAATTTTGGGAATTTAGCTCGAAAACCCACTTTACTTCAAATGTTGCATTTTCAAAAGACAATCAATCACCCTATGTTTAGGTTAAAGTAATTGGTGATCGGTTAGTTGTCCGATGTTTGCGAGAACCAAAAGAAGGACAATTCGGTGATATTAGACGAGAAATCAGCCGAAGCTACAATCTTCCCCCAGACGTTGAAATCCAAACATTAAAATCGAGACTCACAACCAAAGGCCATCTTGTCATCACTGCTGATAAGAAAAAATAAAGCATCCATTCATTATTATCACCAATACTTTTATACCCTCTAAGCACCAATTTAACCCTGTAAAACAAGAAATTTTTGTGATTAAAGGAGTTAGAATACCGTTATTTAATAGGAATTTCTTAGATTTGTAAAAGACAACACTGTTAAGTAAATAAGGAAAATAATGAATGATATGGGACCCATAAATGTCTCTCATATCAACTCTCACTCTTTATTAATAAAGCACATTTGTAATATATGACAGTATTTTGGTAATATTTTTGTGAATGCAATTACTGAACTCGATTTTGTATTTCTTTAATTTTTACCAAAATTACTGTTACATTACACTTTTGTTCAGAAATTGAATAGCACAGCTTATTGTTTTCCACAATTTCATATGCAAATTTTTTTCCACATTAATTGCAATTATATTCCAGAATCCATTAGTCAAGGCAGAATGATGCAGAATGAAAGCGTATTATTTGATTAAATTTAAGGCTTATTAAATAAAAGAGAAAAGAAGTAACTCAAAATTTAAATTCGCTAAACTTCATGAAAATCAAAAGACAGTTTCATTGTTCACAAAATGCACTTTCGGTAAATACGTGCAAGATTATAATTAGCAACAGTGAGATCGTTAGCGAGAAATAATTTGATAGCATTTGTGATCTTTCTCAATGCTATCTCCCAAGAATATCTCAACTTTTTTATTGAAATCACCCTTGAGGAGCAATATAAATTAAGCAGTATTAATTAATAATAATAAGTGAAAGAATGATGGAGATCCAGCAGAAAAAGATCGAAATTGGCATGTCAAGAAAAATGGCAAAAAGTAACGCATCAATTGAATACTTTGAATCTCAACTACAAAATAATCCATTCCGGTTAAACTAAAAAATAGGTCGAAAATTTCAATCTGAAAATAGATCTTAGCATATTTTTCTCCATAACTTGGAATCTTCTCAACTGTTAATATCTCCATATCGTCTGATGTTGGAATTCTCATTTTAGAAGATACGATGAATTCGATATCTATTAAAAAATGTTCGTCTAATGAAAATTTATGAATCATCTTCCTTAAAAAAACAATTCTAAATGTCAATACATAAATCCAGTACATGTTAGAAAGAGTGGAAGAATAACAAAAAGTTTTTGCATTTTCAGCTGATAAATATCAGTAATTATAGAGAGGAAAACATGACTTTTTCACTTATAAATAAGAAATCGGAGAAAAATAACTTGACAAATCATGATAACTGATAACCATAAATGGTAATAATCTTAATGAGTCAGTAATTAAACAGACGGAAGCAGTAAGCAGCAAAGAAAGACAATACTGATTTAGTAAGTCAACAGATTAAAGACCATTTAAAAGTGAAACAATGACTAATCAGAATGTTTCGGGAATATCCAGATCGAACTGATGCGACGTGCCTACTTTTGAACCATTTTTATTAATTTTTCCACTTTTTTCATAACTGAGCTCCTGAATGGTTTCCTCATCGACAACGCCAAAACCTTCCTGAACATGAATTGCATAAACAGTAAAATATTTTCACATATTTCGTTCAATGAAGAATGACACCAATTAGAAACATATTTTTCGAATTCATAACAAACGAGTTTTTTAAAAGCTCT